ATGTATGGTATCTCAAAAGTCTTAATGCATTTTTAAGCTCTCAAATCTTTAGCCCACACGGGGCTCTTTAGGACGCCCTATATGCTTCAGAAAAGCCTGGTATACTTCCAGTCTAAGAGTGTGCAGTTCAAAAGCACTCCACGCCCAAGCCCCATTTTCTCAGTGTCACATATGGGGAAGAAGTCAGGACCCTTACAAAAAAAGAATTCACTTTGATGTCAGTAAGTAGCAGCAGGGCTGAACCAGATACAACAATGTAGGAACAGGGAAAAATGGGAATTTCCCCGCAGCTTTAGCATGGTGCCAGGCCATGAATGGAAGCAGGGATTCCCCAGTCACACCAAACATTAACTTCAAGAGTGTGACAGTGGGACCAGGCTTCTCTTTGCAGCTATAATTAAGACTTTAGGAACTTGAGGTACAAGAATTATGTGGCTTTCATTGGGGAGTGTAAGGCAGGCAGGCCTCTTCCAGGCAAAATAGCATTGTGAGAGATGGAGTAGACCTCAGAGGTGAAGAGAAGAGAATAAGCATTTATATAGTTCCTACCACATGCCAGACACTGGCCAAGTGCTTTTATGATTATTATATTGTTTGATCCTCACAACAACCCTGATATAGGTGCTATTATTATCCCCATTTTGCAGATGAGAAAACGGAGAGAGACAGAAGTTAAATGACTTATCCAGGATCACACAGTTAGTTAGTGTCTGAGGTCAGATTTAAACTCAGGTCTTCCTGATTCCAGGCCCAGTACTCTGTACACTTTGGCGCCACCTAGCTGCCTCAGGTCATTGAGTCCAACCCTCTTATTTTATAGACAAGTTCTTGTTTGTCCATTTTCAAAGAGGACCAATGACATCATGGGGTGATGTCCAAGTAAGCTGTGGCCAGGAGAGATTAAATGACTTGTGCACGGGAAAACAGGTAGAATCAGAGCCAAAATTTGAAGTCAAGTCCTCAGATTACAAATCCATTGTTTTTTCCACACTGCCTTTGGCTTTCTCTCAAGAAATAATTTTGCTTGCAGTCATTTGTCTCCAAATCTAAACTCTGCCAGAATGGGAGTGGTTTCATTTTTGGCTTTTCTCTCCCTATTGCCATGAACATGGTGAGTGCTTCCTCAATATTTATTGAATTATTGAATTGTCTTATGTGCTTTACATAAATATCAAGACTGTGTACCCATGAAGCTTACTACCGCAAAATTCCATTTATTCAGAATATAAATGGTCAAAAAAATCAAATGACAAGATTTTTAAAAAGCATTTTATACTATAATTTGATGAAACAAGCTAATGTAAAATAAATATCAGGAATTTAGGCAAAAATGAGTGTAACAAGTATGTGTCATGATGTCAGTAAAGTTTCAGCTCTACATAGTTTAAGATCAACAGATTCTAAGTCAGATGACTGAGTCCCTATCTCAGCTCTGCTCCTTACTGCCCTTGGGTAAATCACTTACCATAGCTAATCTTTGGGGAAAGTCACTTGAGTTTCAGTTTCCTCACCTGCAAAATGAAGGATTAGACCAGATGATCTCCATAGTCCCTCCCAGCTCCAGTTCCTCAAATACATTTTACATGTACACAACTAGGCAGTTTTTCATAATGATCGGAACATCTCAGCCTGAGGCAGTTGCAAGAATCTGAAGGCCCAATGTATTTTTTTCAGTTTATTTTGAATGTTAAATGTATTTATCATTTTCAATTCAAGAAACATATATTAAGTGCATACTATATGTAAGATACTAAAGATGTAGTTGCAAATACAAAAAACAAAACAACACCTGCCTTCAAGGAGTTTATGTTAAAATTTAGTCAAAATTGGATCTGCCATTTCACATTAACCAAAATGTTAGTGTAACATCGCATTCTTTAACTAGTTTGAACAAGTGAAACCTTAGCAAGGCCTTTGCTACATCTTTCCCATCCTTCTACTCTACTCCAACTGACCCCGTATGTTATTTCGCTTAGTAATTGTCTTACCAAAGACACAAATGTCATCCCCTAACCCCAATACTTACAGCAGCCACCATACTTGGCCTCCCACTTCACTGAGAAGTTTAACAGAAATTTTAATCGGCTATCCTCCTTTAATCATCAAAACTTCCCAGTATCATCACCCACTCTTTTTTCTTCCCAAAGTCATAGAAAAAGAGTTATCCCTACTCCTCACTAAGGCTAATCCCTCCACCTGTACCTTTGATTCCATCATCTCTCACTTCTTCCATGATCTTGCTCCCAGAATCACACTTTCATTATCATCTTGCATATCTCCTCCAGTTACTCCTTTCCATATGCCTACAAACATGTTTATTTTACCAGTCCCCAAAAAAACAGAACTCTGACTCCATTGACTGTCCCATCTCTCTCTTCTCTTCTTTACAATCATATTTCATAATTAGTTGACTTGTGATCTTACTGAAGTGGGTACCATGTCCACTGCAGCGGATCACAATCCAACCATGCCTTGTCTTCATATGTGATTCTTGAATACCTTCTCCTATACATGCTCTGTGGAGGATTTATCTAAATATTTAGAAGGCTTTTCACTAAGCCTTTTGACACAGTATCACAAATGTGTCCAGGAACACACAGTAAGTAAGTAAGTATCAGAGCCAAGATTTGAAACTAGGTCCTTAAGTTCCAAAATTTACATGTAGCACATTGCACCAGCAGTTAAATTACTTTTTTTGTAGCTGGTCTGAAAACTCTGTGTATCTTCTGTCCCTTTTCTGCCATTCCATCATCATCATTGCAAGATTAGAAGGGGACACACATAACCAGGGACATTTTATAGTTTTCTTTGTTCCATGGGTTTTGCCATGGCCAAAGAATGAATCACCTTAGTGCCAAATGCTTGTTGACTTTACCTAGTGGCCCCTGCCATTCCTTGGCTTCCAAAACACCTCTGCTTTTCTCCTACCTCTTTAACCACTACTTTTCTGTCTCCTTTGGGAGCTCTTGTCCTCTTTCCAACCCACCAAAATGAGCATATCATAAGATTCTGCTCTTGACCTTTTGTCTCGGTCTGCCTCTCTTTCTCTCCTCTGTCTCTGTCTGTCTCTGTCTCTGTCTCTGTCTGTCTCTCTCTATCTCTGTCTCTCTCTATCTCTGTCTATCTCTGTCTCTCTCTGTCTCTCTCTCTCTCTCTCTCTCTCTCTCTCTCTCTCTCTCTCTCTCTCTCTCTCTCTCTCTCTCTCTCTCTCTCTCTCTCTCTCTCCCTCTCTCTCCTTTTTTCCTTTTTCCCTCTCTTCCACTTATCTCCATCCCTTGTTGAAATCTCATTTCTTCCCACAACATCAACCATGAAGGCTATACAGAAGAGAATCAAATCTAGATTTCCAGCCTGACTTATCTCCCAAAATCAGGGTCCACCCCTCCAGCTTTCCTTGAGAAGTGTCTGTCTGGATGTCCCATAGGTAATTCAAACAAACCAAGAGTGTCACCTTTCCTTAAAGTCCAAGTCTTCCTTCTTTGTTATTTCTGAGAGTGGTGCTACCATTCTCCCAGTCTGTTATGTTCCAAACCTTGGCATTACCTTGGACCCTTTCTTCTCCCTTACCTCTCATTTCTAATGAGTTGCCAGGTCCTACAGATACCACTCCTGATCTATCTCTTACATTTGCCTCTTTCTCTCTTTTTTCACCACCATCATCCTAAGTGGAGGCCCACATTACCACTCATCTGGACTATTGCTGGAGTCTTATATCAGGTCTTTCTTTCTTTGGTCTCTCCCTTCCACTATCTATGCTGTACACTGCTGCCAGACCAATAATCTTCCTAATATATGTCAGGTCACTCCTCTGCTCAAAATTCTTCAGTGACCCTTTTCTGTCTACCAAGTCAAGTTCAAGCTACTTTGCCTGGCGTTCTCTGTTACCCCTCCCTGTTTCTGCGGTCTTATTTCATTTGTTCCCTTTGATGTCCTCTTTGTTTAGCCAAACTAGACTTGTTGCATATACCCCCCCACCCTGCACCCCCTAACGCTGTGCTTGTACTCATCGTATTCTCTGGTTCTGAATGTCTTCCCTTGTGGTCCCCACCCCTTCACCACCTGTTGAATCTCTCCTTTAAAAGTCCAATTCAAATGCCATTACCTCTATAAAACTTTCCCTATTAATACTTTCCCCCACTCAGACTTCATATAGTGCTTTGTACCTCCTTCATATTCTTACCATGTTCTGTTCTCTATTTCAGTTATTTGTATATGTGTCATATCACTCTTTTGGATTGTAAGTGCCATGAATGGTGAGGATCACATATTAACTAAAATTAGTATCTCTTCATTTGCCTAGAATACTAAACTCTGTTCATAGTAAGCACTTAATAAATATTTGTTGAATTGAATTGTATTGTAATGTATTGTAGTGGAAAAAACACTGGTGTTACCACATTCTTAGACTGAAGAAACCTAAATTTGAATTCCAGCTCTTCCACTCACTAGCTGCGTGTCCCTCCCTGGGTTAGTCACTAAACATCTTTGGGCTTCAGTTTCTTGATCTGTAAAATTGGAACAGTAATGCTCTCCCTTCCTCATTTTTCAAAGTTGTAAGAAAAGCACTCTGTAAAACTTGAAGTGTTATATAAATGTGAGGTGGTGGTGGTGGTGGTAGTAGTAGTGGTAGTAGTAGTACTTGTTCTTGTAGTAGTAGTAGTAGTGGTAACAGTAGTAGTAGTAGCAGCAGTGGTGGTAGTAGTAGAGTAATGTTTAAAAACTCAAGCTTTTAAATTTGGGGAAAACATTTCTGGAGACTTCACTCTAACACAGAAAGTGTGACAATGTCAAGAGAAATTGGGTGACTTAAATACAAATATGTTGAATCCTAAAGGATTCAAGTATACATCCTATCTTCTCACAGGGACTAGGGCAGCCTGCTTTGTTTTAATGGTTTTAGTTTGGAATTTGCAGCAATAGTAAAGATGCAGGAAGAATCTCTCTCCCCCTCCCCAAAAGTTTGAGTGGATCTGGCCTTTATATCTGTTTCTCCCTCTCAGGAAAAGGTCTGAAAGTAGTTCATCCTGGCAATCAAACCTTCCCACGGCAGTGTGCCTGTACCCCTGGGTACCACTGGAGTGACGACTTTGACAGCTGTCAACGCAATGGAAAATGTGGCCCAGGCTTTGAAGCTGAAAATCCTTGTAAGACCATTTTATTTCATGGAATTGTATGTTCTTGTTTTATAACAGGAAACAATATCATCAGGGCTACACTTGCGCCATGGTGATAATAACAAGCAGAGGTGGGCAGCCTGAGTGGGAAGACCCCCCCTCCAGGTGTTTTCCCTGGGGAGATGATGGAGGAGTAGATCTGAACAGCGGACAGACTTCAGAGATTATTCCCCACACCATCAATCTAGTTAAATGAGATGAGATCCAGTCAAGCAGATGGTTTGGGAATCTTTTATCTCCTTTTGAAGCTCAATTCAAGTCTTTCCTTTTAATCCTCCCACTTGTTACTCTCCCTTCTAAATATGATAGCGTTGCATTTACTTGGTATCCATTTAGCATTTACTTGTCAGTACACATGTTATCTTCTGCTAGTACAAGGATTGGCAAATTACAGCCCATGGACCAAATCTGGCTGCCACCTGCTTGTTTGTTTTTTTTTTGTTTGTTTGTTTGTTTGTTTTGTTTTTTCTTTTTGGCTAGGCAATGGGGTTAAGTGACTTGCCCAAGGTCATACAGCTATTAAGTATTAAGTGTCTGAGGCCGGATTTGAACCCAGGTCCTCCTGACACCAAGGCCAGAGTTCTATCCACTGTGCCACCTAGCTGCCCCTGCCACCTGCTTTTGTATAGCCTCCAGCTAAGAATGGTGGTTACACTTTTAAATAAAGTTTTTTGTATTTTAAAATATTAAAAAAAATCATTTGTAATTTGCATGTTGTACAAAAACTGGCCTGCTCTAGTAGATTATAAGCTCCTTGAGGACAAGGACTGTTTGGTTTTTATCTTTATATTTTCAGTGCCAAGCACATTATAGATATTTAATAAAAACTTGCTGATATGTTGAATTGAATTGAATAGAATAAGCATAGGTCTATGATGTTGCCCCTTTGCTTCACAGCTTTGGGCATCTTTCCCTCAGCACCTCCAGCTCTATAGAAGGAGTGAAGCAGACTCTGCCCTGCAAAAAGTAGTAAGGGGCTCACAAATGGATGCCTTCATTAAGCCTGTGGAAAAGATCTCTCCTAAAAATTCCCTGGATGTTTCCCCTTAATTCTCTAAGTCTGGTTCTACATTAATTCAATTAAATTCAACCAACTTCAGTTACATACTTTTGATGTTGAAGGCACCACGCTAGGTACCACAGGATTTAAAGAAGGGTAACATGGGATCTAGTACTAGATCTGGCCTTCATTAATTAGTTATGTTACCTGAAAATAACCAAGTAAGCTCTTTTGGGCTTCTAGTGACCTATGACCCCCCCCAATGGGAATATTCTCTCCAAAGTGCAGAGAACAAGTCATTTCCACCTTTGCTCATCCTTTGCAGTTGATGTCTATATCCTTCCCAGGCTGATCTACTCTAGCACCATGAGTTTTCTTCTGACACTTTTTTAGAGGCATATAGGTTTTGGAGGAGAGGAAGTGCTGTAGTTGGAGTTAGAAAGACCTGAGTTCAAATCTTGCCTTAGTCATTTACTAGGGGGATAACCCTGAGCGAGTCATTCAAACTCAGTCCCAGTTTTCTTATATGTAAAATGGGGATAGTAATAGCTCCTACCTCACTGGGTTGTTGTGAGGATCAAATGGGATAATAATCATAAAGAGCTTAGCACAGTACCTGCCACATGGTAAGTGCTGTATAAGTGTTTGTTCTTGTTATTATTATTATTATCATCACATGCTTTGGGTACCAGTACTGCTGGTACTGTTCTGCTATCTTTTGCTGTTACCACATGAAATGCTCATCACCTATTCCAGTGATACATATCTTTGTGATGTTTTTCACTAAGAAAAATTTTTGTTGATATCTTTTATTTTTCTATCACTTTTACTTCTGAGTATATCCCTTGTGCCTATACGTCAAATGTCCCTTATAACAAAGAATAAAATAGAAAAAAGCAATTTAACGAAATTAACCAATATATTAACTGAGTCTGACATTGTATACGATGTTTTACATATGTCTTCCTAAAGTACAAGTGTAATTATGTTGTTCCCCTCCTCTGTAAACTCCTGTAATTCCCTATTGCCTCTAGAATCAAATAAAAATTCCCCTGGCATTTAAAGGCTTCTGGCCCCATTCTCCCTTTTCAGCCTTATTACACACTACTCCTCTACACACACCATATGCCAATCAAATCAGCCTTCTTAATTTTCCTCATACATGGCACTCTTTTCCATATCTCTGCCTTTGCATTGTCAGTCACCAGGGGTGTGCTGGAGTCAGCTTTAATCAACTCAAAAGAGCTAATTATTAAGTTTTCAGTGTTTGCACCTTTAGAAACCAGGATCCAAATTAGGGCTTGCTTTATTGTTTTGTTGATTGTCTAGACTTAAGAAAATGTTAATAATACAGATAAAACTTAAACATGTATGTGCACAAATTTCCCCTCTCCCCCTACCCCCAGCCTGTTTGTTAAACATTTACAGCACACCTTTGTATTGCCCTGTAAACCTTGCTTTAGCATAGCAGGGGTTCAGTAGAAGGCGTAGACAATGAAGTTATCCCCAGACAGGAGGCTGGTGACCGGACACTAATAGTAATAATGATAATAATAATAATAGCATTCATTATCACTTTAAGGTTTGCAAAGTGCTTTATATCCTTTATCTTTTTGAACCTTACAAGACCTCTGCTAGTCCCCCATGCCTGGAATATTCTCCCTCCCTACTATTGTGTCTTAGAACTTCTAATTTTCTTCGGTGGCTCAGCTGAGGGACTACCTTCTACATAAAATGTTTCCTGAGTCCCCCAAGCTATTAGAGCCTTCCTTCCAAAATTATCCTGTAGCTGTTTTCTATGTTGAATATACCTATGTATATACATGTTGTCTCCTATGGCTGGATTGTAAACTCCTTTTAGGCAGGGATTATGGCACCTAATTGATCCATAATCCCCCACTTCTGCAAAGAAGGAAGGGAGATGGATTTTCCCATCTCTTTTCTTGGGCCAAACTTGGTCACTATAATCATACACCATTCAGTTTTTTTCTTTTGATTGACATCATTAGAGTTGTATTTATTGGGGTTTTTTTCCTGTTTATTTCACTCTACATTCGTTCATATGCTTACAACCTGTGTAAAGGCAAATCACTTAACTCCCTTGGATCTTAATTTCCTCATCTGTAAGAGAAGGGGGTTGATCTTTGAGGTCCATTGCAGCTCTCAGTTTATGATTGTATAAGCCTAGGTATCTTCCCATGCTTCTTGGAATTCTACATATCCATCATTTCTCATGGCAAAGTAATAAGTAACCTTTCATTGCATTCATGTACCACATTTTATTTAACCAACGTCCCAATTGATGGGAATGTCCTTTACTTTATTTCCGATTTCTTGTTCCCACAAAAATTGCTGCCATGTGTATTGTGGTGCATATGGGAACAGTTTGTCTTTGGCTTTCTTAAGCTGTATGCCTAGCAGTGGGATCTCATCTCAAAGGTAATGGACTATTTCTGTCACCTGTCTTCTTGCAGGTATCTTTCATTCTAGTTTATCACTTGGACATTTATATCCACCTTGCATTTCTCCCTGGCCCTTGGGCCATCTGCAGTTGTAATTTTTTTCTGATATTTTGGTGCTCGGTGATTTGCAGCTATATAGCATCACTGGGAGTCTATTAGTATGAAAGAGATGAGTTTTCTCTCTCAGGGAGCAGCCTATGTCATTGAAAGCCTTCTATATTTTCTCAATTGCTATCCTGCCCTCTTTTGTCCCTCTTATTTCCTGTTCAGTCTTGGGTACAATTAAAAAGTATGCTGGTAAATGTTTAACGACCATCTTCTTCAAAAAAAAAAAGGTATGTATTAGACACTTTTAAGTCTAATCTGCAGTATTACCATTTTCTTAAGTCTAGACAATCAACAAAACAATAATAAATCCTTGCTTTGTAGTTTTGTTGATTTCTGAGTTCTAAATGCTCACGTTGAAAATTTAACAAAATTTAACATTTAACCTGGCTTCAGCACACACTTGGTACAAGTGTATGCTTACCCAAGATATATGTATTGATGGACTAATTTAATTCATTCTACCTTTAACCACATATCATGATCGGGATTCATCCACTTGCTTTTTGTGTGTGTTACTAGGCTAATTTCTTTGAGTAGTCATGATTATGTTGAGGAAGCCATGTTGCATTCTGGGGCTTAGTGCAATCATTCACAATGTCACCCAAAAACAGGACCATCTGGAGAACCTCTCCATCTCCACAAAACCTCTTTTCTTTACAGATCATTCTCCTTGACAGTGGAGAATGTATCTGGTGAGCATGTTTCCAGATTTTGGTTGCTTGGTGTTGAGAAGCAGAGGACTGTGGAACAGAATTCTCTCAAGTTTCGACTCTCAAGGAATTTCATGTGACAGTATCACATCAGAGACACTTTGTTGTTGGGGAGCCTTTAAAATAAAGATTCATCGCTTTTTTTTGTATCATAGACCTTTTTGGCAGCCTATGGACCCCTTCTTAAAATAATATTTTTAGATAATTGAAAAAATGCTAAATTTCATTCAGACATTAGTGAAAATAAAGATAGATATTTTTTACCATCCAAATTCCTGGAACTCCTGAAATCTATCCATGGGCTCCTCTGGGTTCTGTGGACTTCAGGTTAAGAAGCCCTTCCTTAAAAGATGTGTTTGGCTCTACTAAGTCAAATGTTTTTTTTGTTTGTTTGTAATTAACAAACAATAAAAAGGAGCTGTATTCTCTACATTTTTCAGTCAGTCGTGTTACTATGGAGAAGCAGTTTGTTTTGTAGAAAATAGTCTGTGAAAGCCTCCCTACCTCTATATTAATGAGTCTCATATTTTCACTGATAGTGTATGGGCCCTTCTCATGAATACTTTATAGAAGAAAGTAGGCCTTATATGGAACAGGCTTATGTATCATAGATTTGGAGATGGAAAGAAAGGTCCTAAGAGGCCATATAGTCCAACCCCCTCATTTTACGTATGAGGGAACTGAAGCCCA